AAAGATCCACAATAAACTGCGTGGATAACTAATGCACAAAATAGCGTGAATAAGTATAACAACTTTAACGACGTACGGTTAGCATGAGCATCTATAATTAAAAAAATTAATGTTTGTAAGTTTTATAATTTTTCTAAAATCAGTCGTAAATTTAAAAATTTAAAATTGACCTGACAACCCTTGCTGGCAGAATACACCAAATACTTGTGTACAATTTTCCAACAAAATGGCATATCTTGAACATGTTCTGTCTCGATATTTAATGTTGATGAAAGACAATATAATTGTCAAAACAACTACAGTAACAGCTAACTTAATCCATGCACCTTTGCTAAAAATTTAATTTTTAAACACTTAAGTTATACATTCTCCCTTTCACATTTTAGAAGTAAACTAATTTTTTTTTCTTTATTTTTGTAAGGGACTCAGTTATGTTTAGTCTCTCAATTACAACGAACTTCTAATCTTTTTTCTTAATAAAAATTAAAACATTTAAAACAAAAAAAAAAAATGGAAAACATTTGTCTTTTTAATGTTTTTTTTTATAAAATAGTTTCATTTGATCAATAAATGATTTTGAGATGCAATACCAAGTTTTTTAATCGAATCAAATATTTGTACATTCGAATAAAAAAATTAAGAGACGAGTTTTGTCTCTCGAGGTATGGGTGTAAGCCTTAACTTATTTAATTATACATTAACTAAGCAGACTAACTTTTGGCCGTCACCAATTCTAAAAAATTAACATTGTTTGCGTATGTAAAAGTACGCAACTTGTAATTTTATTTATCGGCAGTTATAATTGCCTCTCAGTATCTAGATTTGAATAAAACGCTTTTAAAAGCTATAGTCATTGTATCTTTCAATTTAAAAAAAATGTAAACTAACATGTTTAGGGGTAAAAAAAATAAAGTAAACAAAAGATTAATGTTCATAAGAGTTTAAATTTAAAATTAAGATATGATATAGACGAAAATGACGTTGGTGACGTCGATAATAATAATAAAATTCTTTGATACATACTTTTATATTCGAAAATTATGTACCTGTGTTATTAAGTAAAAATATAATAATTAGCGTAATTACTAAAATTAAGTTATGAGTGCGTTAACTTTTACTTTATTAAAAAAATCAAACAAAAATCTTAACCTTGAAGATGTTTTTATTGTAGTTTATTTTTATGCCACATATAGTACATTGGGCACTCTCGCACTTATATAGGAAGGGAAAGTAAAGAAATTCCCTGAAAACATGCTTACTGGCATAAAGGACGAAGCCATAAGTGCCCTACATGCGGACTGACTATTTTATTTTCCCGGTTATTACCACTGAAAATAGATTTTAGTTTGAAATTAAATTTTATACTCTAACCCAAGCTTTTTTGAAGATATGAATGTTTACTGCGCAGGTAGAAAAATCGACGTTTCTGTCTGTATGGTAAACCTCTAAACTACTAATGGACATTAAGCTGTAATGTCACTCGACTATTGTCATTGCAATCATCAATATTTTATGCTTTATTTGTCGTTTTATAAATAGTAATTGGTTTTATTGTAATAGTATAAAAAATTAAATGACAAAAGTTTAAAATAAAAAAATGTATCCAGTGCTTACTAAGTTGTAATAACCAGATGTGAACATATTAAAATTTATACATTTTCGACTCTTTTTTAATAGTGAATACGTCTTTGTATTAAAAATATAATTTAGGTATAGTAATTCAGTCGATTTTACTATTTTCTAGTTGTACACTTATGTAGAAATAGTAAAATTTTACTGTGAAATAGTCGATATTTACCATTACTATTAAATAATTTTTCACTGATATGACAAGATAACTAAATATTTTTTATTATCTGTGTAGCAATGAAAGTTAAGTTTACTTTAAAATAATATTTATTGGCTATAACATTCTTTTAAACAGGACAGAAAGTGTTAACTGATACATTAATTAATTTTGAGAAAACAAAATTAAAGTGGTTTTTTTATACTCTCTAGTAAGCATCTTGTTTACTTAGCAAATAAAGAGAATTTACAGTACTTAAAATGCAGAGAAAAATAATTTCTTACCTTTAAGTATGCACTCCAAGGTACGTATAAATTGTCTGGCATTCTGATACACAAACAGTGTGATTGGAACTCAATGGGATTCGTAAGATCTAAATTTTTTGAAACATGTTGGTCCATAATTATCTCCGTAGCAATTACATCAAAAGGCATAGCTCCTGACGTATTACTAGAAAAAGAATTTCCCCTGCTTGCTGCAGTGTTTTTATTCTTGGCTCCACTACCTTGTAACGGTTGCGGGTACTTTGTAGTTATGTTTATTACTAACGTTAATTCATCCACGATTCTTGATGGTAAATCGTAATTATAAATATAATTTGATTGTTTTGTATAAGGTAGGTCCTGATGTGTAATTGAGAAAAAAATGCATTAAAGAGTGAAATTATTGAAAACTTAAAAAGTGTTTTTTTCATACTTTTATAGACAACACTTTTATCGAGACATCGGTTAAATTTTTTCTCCTTTCAAACAGAACTCGTTGATCTTTGACATTGAGTCATTGGATTCCATTGAAGGTATTCGCGTACCTGAATCTTGTTACTTTACAATCCTGTGGAAAACCATTACTTTATATCGTAATCATCCCCACATTTTACTAATATTTCTACAAGATAGTTCAAGTTCAGTCGATTTACTTGAGGATTGTGGCAGAAATCACTCATTGACTCCGACATTGAAGTGTGGAATATTAATAACCACACGTGAGGATTAATTATCTCTGTTGTTGTAAAATTCATGAAATTTTTAAAATCATCTTCGGTTTTCAAAACAATGACAAATATTGACTATGAACTCTCCCTAATGCTGGAATACTGTGTTTTTAGGTCTGATCCTGTAACTGCCATCGAATAGTGATGGTTTTTTGAAAGTTGCCTCATAATTCCAGTTGCAACTTGCGCACCTGTTTATTAAAACAAAAAAAAATTATGCCAAATATTGTTTTAATAATTAATATATTTATACTTACTTTCGAAACCATTATATACGATTACAACACTGTTGGTTCGGTAAAGTTCTTTTACGTCTATTATTAAATTCGAATAAATATTTATATCACTTGTTGAATCATAACTATAAACTAACGAAACAACTGAAAGAATGAGAACTAAAAACGTTGATGAGACCATTTTTAATCCGTAATAATGAAAACAAAGATTGACAGAAATTGATGTATTTTTGATATTGCAGCTGAGAGACTGTACTGCAAAAACGCGTCGTAAGAAAGTAGAGTCTTTAAAATACGATACTTTTTAATTTCATTCAAATTCAAGGACAATTTTTTTAATGACTTGTTCTGATTACTGTTAACTGTATGAAGTCCTTTGTTCGACTGTTTGATCGGATATAAATTTACTAGGATTGTTAGGATTGGGGAAAGGCAGTGGCCACGTGTTAAATTATGAATTGTATCGATTCTCATGAATAATTTATTGTAGTGCTCAATAATAAATTTTGAAGCTTAACCAATGTTTTTTCTCGATGGACCAAGTAGTACTACGTGCATAAAATAAAACGTAGTGAAACGTACGAAAAGGTATGTGTATAAATAAATTTGTATGGGTGTACATATATTTCTACGTACATAGGGTATTCAATAAGAGAGTATATCATTTTATAGAATGAAGAGTTATTTTTCGATAAATGTTGGCGTGTAAGAACAAAGATTTTTATGAAAACAAAAAACAAAAAAATACAGAGGGATCTTTAAAACCTATTGTTTCTTGATTAAGATTAAAGAATCGACAAAATTTATTTTTCGCCCTCGGGTGGTTTTGCGAGACTGGTACTTCCTCGGGCGAAAAAGCATTTTCCGGAACTCGTTCGAAAAGTCTCCTTTACGAACCTCGTTACGTCCCTCGCCTTCGGCTCGGGCCGCAAACCTTTTGGTTCGCAAACAGAGACTTTTCAAACTCGTAGGAAAACTACCATTTCCCCTTTTCGGGTGGAAAATGAGGGCCGAAAGTACTTTCAGTGCCTGTTTCACGGGCGGAAAGTGGAACCTCCCGCCGTAGGGCGGAAAGTACGTTACTGCCCTAGGGCGGAAAGTTCATTCCCGCCCGCAAATAAGAATAATTACTAAATTTTGTAGTTGGTGTACATTATCAATATGTTATATGCGACATCTATCAAATATCTTTCTTTATACATCTTCAAAACAAGACTTGATTATTTTATGAAATTCTATTATAAGTATATTTTGTATATAATTTCTTAAGAAAAAATATAATATTACAATAAGGGAGTATTATATCTAGGGCTTTAGTATTATATCTCTGATTGCCATTTTTGATACTCATACTCTCATTCCACCAAGTTTATTTTTTTTTTCGGGAGATTAGATTAATTTAATTACTTTTTTTTTGTTCGGAAAATGGTTGTAAATTTTTTTTAATCGAACGATCAGTTGATTTTTTGGACGAGGGGGGAGATTCGCCCCCCCTACCCCCCACCGGGGGCTTTGCTCCCTGGTCCCCCACAAGGGGCTGCCACCCCTGAACCCTGCACAACCTTTGACAATGATAGCAATTTTCATTACTACGTCAGGAGAGCTGTCCCTTGATATTTTAGAGCGACTGCTCGCATATGCCAAAGTGAAAAAGGTGGGAGAACAGCTACATTTGGTAGGAAAGAGGATCTACTAAAGCTATGATGGCATAGCTTTTCTAAAAAACATCCCTACCAATTATCTTTTACAACAGTACACGCAGCGCTAGTCAATAACACTCAAGTATTCCAACTGCAGCAGGTGACGACAGCGTTTAGTATTAGTACAAGCAGTGATTGTTGAACCTCCAGCTGTACAAGTAGCACACAAATCGCGTATAAATTTACCAGGAATCAGTTCAATATTCTTCAATCGACGGTGTCAACTTTGTTAAAGGGGCAGGATTTCATAAAATAATTTGTAGTTAGATTTCTTATTCTAAATTATCATGCCTTATGTCGGAGAGCGGGATTATACTGTCGAAGAAGTATGCGAGATCATAGCGAGAAGTGAACATGATTCTATGGCTTCACGGTCCATTCTTTGTGGAACCTGCAATGATAAAAGCCTCATTTTACCGATCCAACAGAGCTACGATGACAACAGTTCCTCGAACGATAAAGTACACAAGGTAAAAGACCATTCCCATACTTAAGGTGGCTCATCATTCTTATACTATCTGTTTGTATGACATTAGACTATCACACTTGAAAACATTGAGTAGCAGGCTCGATATGTATACCCACAGATACAATTACGCATTTTTATATGCTGAGGTTAGCCTCCGGTTTCGGATTTTCAACACGTCATGTATTTTTTTCCGCTTGGCGACCTTGGACTTACGCGACTTCATTAGAAAGAGCGATATTAAAACAATGTGCTCCCAGTTTTTGTAGCATGTGGCTTGACTTTTAGCCTAAAAAAGCTATAACATTCGATGAAAAAGTTAAAATGCCCCATAGACCAATGCTTAAATTTCAGATTTTGAATGTGTTTTTCGTTTGATTTTGGTCGAGTTACGTGGATTCCTCGGTGAGGAAATAAGTAAAAGCGCGACTTATAATTAACATATACTTTATTAGGAGTCTTTGTATTTGAGGAAAGTTGCACGTCTATTCTAGTCTTGCAGACCTAGTCCTTTCGCTCTCGCAGCTCTTGCTAATCTCCCCTTTACTTCGTTGATTTGTCTTCTTAACTATGCCTTCTTTTCTCTACCTTTTTGTGCCCAGGCTAGTTGGGGCACACGCATACATGGGTACATGCTATGGTACGTAAATGTTGGCAACATACCCTGAAATTTACACTGTACATTCAATGAGTGTTATTGTACCATAAATTTCAATGTAGGTACAAAGGCTAGACTTTCAAAAACGTTTGAGCCACCTTAATTGAAACTGTATTTTTCTAACGAATTCTAACTAATTTAATCAACGAGAGTTTTTGTAGGAAGATTTTTATAAAACGGTAGACTGCGCAGGATTTGCTCTGAATGAAATTAAGGTGTTTGTAAGTATATTTCTCTTTTATTCGTCATGCATCAAATTTTCACTGTACATTCAATGAGTGTTATTATACCATAAATTTCACATAATATTAAAAGCAAAGCAAATACTTAACAAATTTTGTTTTGATTATAGGTGGAAGACGGATTAATTGTAGTTAAGGCCATTCACGACGAAGTGCAAGATGAGCACGGTAATGTCAATAAAAGTTTGTCGAAGACATTTCCCGTCTCTGAAACCTACGACTTTAATGGTGCTAAGATAACCTTAAGCTTGGATGGTGCATTAACTGTGTATATTCCTTGTAAGAATGAGCCATTCGTTGATACAAACTATACTACCAACAACCCATCCTACAATAAACCGAATGAAGAAAACTAACTTCAGTAAGGAGAATAATGTTTTAAAATTGTTTTGCAATTTTATACTTTTAAAGTTTGAAATAAATAATAAAAGCTAATTAAAGCATTTTTAACTTTTTGTGCCGTTAAGACATAAAGGCATTTTATGTCGTCTGTATACACAATTTTCATGCAATAAAAACACTTTTATTAGTAGGAAAATTTTATTGTGTGCATTAGTAAATCCTCTCACAGTGCATACCAACTTATTTATTCCCGATTGAATTTTTTGTAAATGTTTTTTATAGTCAGATGATTGCACAAAATTGTTTATAACATGTTTTTAATGTGGGAAACAAGAAGCTTTTTCTAAAAATAGGCAATATATATATCCATAAGAAAATTCACTAATTATAATATTTGACACAAAAAAAAAAAAAATTACGACGACCATTATAAAGTAACAGATTTATACAATCCTTTTTGTTACACTGTAACATAATAATATGCGTTCATTATATTCTGAGGCAAAAAGTATCGAGTTAACAGGAGAGGTAGTTTAAACTTATTTATTAAAAGTGTTCTATTGAATTTCAAGTAAGGAAACATGGTCGGATTATTTGATTAATTTCACACGATTTTAAGATGTATATCATGGTACACGGATGTAACACGACAAGGAGTGGCCTTGTCTACCACTACCTCTGTGCGGTCACATGATGCCGACGCCTGCCGTCCTTCTGGTAAATCCGTAGTTAGGTTTCGATGTACCTTGCATGGCAAATCTCCTTAAATAAGTCTTCTTTATATTTGGTTTTGATAATTCTGTACGTGTCGTGCTACCCGATAAAGGATAGTGTTTTTGTTGTCCAATTAAAAATGGAAAAAGGTGTATTTCAGCGCAAGGGCCTTCCTGTTACCAATAAGATCGCCTCTTGCTCAGACCGGCCTGAAGTCGCTACTCAACTTCACGTCTTTTTTAAGAAGATGTTCAGCCCCATCAGATGCGGTTACCTGCTATTACTCAGGCCTCATTGTCTGGCTCGACAACTGCTCCAAAACCACCTTGTCGTCACCAAGGAACTATGCACGTGGCTAACCCCAGTGAACAGCTTGCGAGTAAACCTATTATATGTAAACGTAGTGTGTCAGTGTAATAAATGCTCTGGTGAAAAAGTTGTAAGCGTCACGTTTCTTAAACAAAGTCGGGTGGAATGCTATATGGTTTGACGCCCCCTCATACGATCCAAGCTGCCAGGAGCGGGATCTCCGTCAAGGTCTTGCACATCCGAGAGGAAGATTGTTAATTTTATTACTATTAATTATTGCCACTTTCTTTTTTAAATGGAGCCTTTATATATAAATATACAAATTATGTAGAGGTATTCTTGGATTTTTCGGTGGCTAGATTTTCAACGTTAGGTGATAGTCACCTACTATACTGCATTGAAAAATTGGTTACATATTTTAAAAAAAGAGAAGTTATATTTCACGGATTAGAATTCTTTCATCGGCCAATGAATGTCGTGAGATGCATGGTACCGAAACAAAAAAAAATGATTTTTTCAAAGAAAATTGCAATCTTAAATTATTTAAATAACTTGAAAATTGTAATGTAAGTCGTTATTTGGCGTACGCACATGGTTTAACTAAAACCAAAGATTACTTCATTTTTATACACAAGAACTTCAGTAAATACATGAAGTTTTTGTAATTGGTATATAATATTAAGTAAACTCTAAGATCATACNATTTAAATAACTTGAAAATTGTAATGTAAGTCGTTATTTGGCGTACGCACATGGTTTAACTAAAACCAAAGATTACTTCATTTTTATACACAAGAACTTCAGTAAATACATGAAGTTTTTGTAATTGGTATATAATATTAAGTAAACTCTAAGATCATACTATGTAGTCATCGGCCGTATTCGCTGTTGATATTAGTCATTTTAACACCATATTTTAAAACTTCTTGCAATTTAAAGAATTTACCATGAGTATTTTTATTATTTTTTTCGTATTAACTTTATCGAAGCTTTTGAAATATACACGTATTCTGTGCGTAAGATTCGTAAATAAAGTCATTTACGACTGGGCTCGACAAAATAGCTGAACAGAAAATTTCTTGCAATGGACAATCTCATCAAACGTTAAAGAAAATTTTGAGTGTCACTGTATGCTTTATGAATAAAAATACAGGAAGTAAGTATTTGTGGAAACTGTAACGAGTAGGCCATAGCAAGATAAAAANAGAAAATTTCTTGCAATGGACAATCTCATCAAACGTTAAAGAAAATTTTGAGTGTCACTGTATGCTTTATGAATAAAAATACAGGAAGTAAGTATTTGTGGAAACTGTAACGAGTAGGCCATAGCAAGATAAAAAATTATCTCCTAACTTTAGTTTTAAATGTTTTTGAGCTTTTAAGTTTACAATTTTGGCAATGATAAAACCCAAGAAGGAAGGAGAGAGAATAAGTAAGGCTATATTTTTTCCCCCAAAGACTCAATAATTACATCCGTATATCCTGGAACCACTTACACCAGTATACAATACTCATTGATAAAAAACGAGAGAAAATCATCAGGTATATAGCTCGGATTTAGTTGTGCCTAGTGTGCAATGGGAATAGCACAAGGGCACAGTGTTGTATAAATAATAAATACAGCTGCTCATGCCAGTCTCTGATCCTATAATACATGTCTTTCTTCTTGATTATATTCTCTGACTATAATGACGTGAAAGCCATCTTGTTCCGTACACGTATAAAATGATGTCAAAGATGAGTAAGCCAGGGTTGGTCAGTTAAAGGGATACCTGCACTGTCCTGACGATTGGAGATAAAGAAAACGGCCTTGGTGTCAAACCAATGAGGCTATATTTTTTTGGTGGGAAAAGATATGACGTGTAATAGGACATGTGCCTCGAGCAGCATAGTCGTGAAAAATTTGTTGGATGTGATTCTGTGTCCTAAACACGAAGAGGTACGCATTGTTAAATAATATGGAGGAGTTGCATAGTAATAGCTGTTACTGTCCTCGTATAGTTTACTTCAACATTAAAAATTAAAGTTAGCGTTAATCTGTTATCGTAGGTATTGTAAAGAACTTTTGTTTTACGTGAAATGCCGAAATATCATTTAAGGCTTCGTTTGTTTCGGGTTTTTTTAGTCGTAAATATCGAGGTGGATTTGTAATTTATCGTATAAAACAATTGTGGCTCTGGTAGTCACACTTTTTTCATTAGGTACAAACACTAGTGCTTTTTCTTAAACAAAAATGTATTAAGTCCTCTGTACTGAATAAATATAAAGTTTTATTCTCTAAATGTTTATTATCACCTAAAGTAGAATAAACAAAAAATAATTTAACAGACATAAGTAATTCCGAAAAAAGTAGCAGCTTTTGTATAAGAAATGAGACTTGAATATAATAATTAATTAAAAATTGTATATTATCATTGAAACTATCTTTTACAAGCGTTTCTTGCGATAAAAAAATGTACGATACATAAGAAAATTCACTAATTATAATATTTGACACAAAAAAAAAAAAAAATTACGACGACCATTATAAAGTAACAGATTTATACAATCCTTTTTGTTACACTGTAACATAATAATATGCGTTCATTATATTCTGAGGCAAAAAGTATCGAGTTAACAGGAGAGGTAGTTTAAACTTATTTATTAAAAGTGTTCTATTGAATTTCAAGTAAGGAAACATGGTCGGATTATTTGATTAATTTCACACGATTTTAAGATGTATATCATGGTACACGGATGTAACACGACAAGGAGTGGCCTTGTCTACCACTACCTCTGTGCGGTCACATGATGCCGACGCCTGCCGTCCTTCTGGTAAATCCGTAGTTAGGTTTCGATGTACCTTGCATGGCAAATCTCCTTAAATAAGTCTTCTTTATATTTGGTTTTGATAATTCTGTACGTGTCGTGCTACCCGATAAAGGATAGTGTTTTTGTTGTCCAATTAAAAATGGAAAAAGGTGTATTTCAGCGCAAGGGCCTTCCTGTTACCAATAAGATCGCCTCTTGCTCAGACCGGCCTGAAGTCGCTACTCAACTTCACGTCTTTTTTAAGAAGATGTTCAGCCCCATCAGATGCGGTTACCTGCTATTACTCAGGCCTCATTGTCTGGCTCGACAACTGCTCCAAAACCACCTTGTCGTCACCAAGGAACTATGCACGTGGCTAACCCCAGTGAACAGCTTGCGAGTAAACCTATTATATGTAAACGTAGTGTGTCAGTGTAATAAATGCTCTGGTGAAAAAGTTGTAAATGTCACTGTTTTTCAAGTTAATAGGGGGAATTGCTATTTGTTTTAAAGCCCTCTCACACGATCAAGCTGCCAGCAGTGGGATCTCCGTCAAGGTCTTGCACATCCGAGAGGAAGATTGTTAATTTTATTACTATTAATTATTGCCACTTTCTTTTTTAAATGGAGCCTTTATATATAAATATACAAATTATGTAGAGGTATTCTTGGATTTTTCGGTGGCTAGATTTTCAACGTTAGGTGATAGTCACCTACTATACTGCATTGAAAAATTGGTTACATATTTTAAAAAAAGAGAAGTTATATTTCACGGATTAGAATTCTTTCATCGGCCAATGAATGTCGTGAGATGCATGGTACCGAAACAAAAAAAAATGATTTTTTCAAAGAAAATTGCAATCTTAAATTATTTAAATAACTTGAAAATTGTAATGTAAGTCGTTATTTGGCGTACGCACATGGTTTAACTAAAACCAAAGATTACTTCATTTTTATACACAAGAACTTCAGTAAATACATGAAGTTTTTGTAATTGGTATATAATATTAAGTAAACTCTAAGATCATACTATGTAGTCATCGGCCGTATTCGCTGTTGATATTAGTCATTTTAACACCATATTTTAAAACTTCTTGCAATTTAAAGAATTTACCATGAGTATTTTTATTATTTTTTTCGTATTAACTTTATCGAAGCTTTTGAAATATACACGTATTCTGTGCGTAAGATTCGTAAATAA